AGTCCTGCATAACTATCATATTGAGAGCTCTTTATTGTTCATCCAGGAGCGTACTGCAACTTCTCTTGCCTTTTGAATTATGCTCTTTGTTATTTCCTATATGCTACTTCTGGAGGTATTAAAATATTTTAAGTTTGGGGCGGGGGAGATGGCTCAGTGGAATAAGCACCTACCTAGCAAGTGCAAGGGTCTGAGTTCAATCCCTGGTTCCACAAAAATAAATAAATAAATAAATAAAATATTTCAAGTTTGTGTAACTAGAAAATCTTTTAGTTTTCAAAGGTATGTTTGCTAAGTATAAAATTCAAAGAGGAAAGATCTTTTCTTTCAGTCCTTTGATTAGTCTAGTTTCTTACACACTTGGTCCTTTTTTTTCTTTCTAATGTGGAATACGGTGCTATTTAATTTTGTTCTTCCATAGCTAATATTTTTTATGTATATGCTTTAATGATTTTCTTTAAAATAAGTTTTGGACAATTTCACTTTTGTGTATCTTGGTATGATTTTATTTAAATTTCTTGTGCAAAAGGTTCATTTTTCTTGGAACTATGGTATTATAAGTTGAACTAAATTCAGAAATTTTAAATCTTTAAATATTTATTGGCTGCTCCTTTCTACCTTGAGAATTCTAATTATATGAATATAAGTTTCTTGGTTTTAACACAGTGAACTATTATGACTGATCTGTAAATTCTTCATTTTTATTTTGGACAATTTTTATTGTTATATTCATTTATGTTCGTAAATAATTTTTCAATTTGCAATCTATTAAAAAATTAAAATTAAAAAAAAACCCAATACTCTGATGGGAGATATGCTAATTACTTATCTTTGCCTTGTCACTTGGTACAACCTAATAATAAAGGGACTCCCCAGTTAGTTTTTAAAGCTCAGAGTGCAGTAGTTTCCTAAGAACCCTCCTGTGACAGTAAAAAGTCTATATAGCAGCTTGATAATACAATTATAATTCAATCATCTAAAAATTTCTAAAGGGCTAAAACTCATAAAAACTACTGATCCACTTGCCAACTTCATTTTACAGATTAAAATAATACTGAGAGGGAAAGAAACCTACTCACATTCACTCAACAAATAACACAGAAATCAAGAGTAATGAAGATAATGCTGACACACCTTTTGGTACCAAAGCTATACTTTATTCTGTACTGCCCTATTTGAGCTTTATTATTCTTATACTACACTATGAAATACTTAGGATACATATTAGTAAATAAAAGGTAAAAAGGGCACCTTAGTACAGGAAATACATTTAATAAATTAAAACATTAATCGAAAACAGCAGGACAAGCTGTAGCCCCCATCTAGAAATACCCAAGCAGCTACTCAGATCATATTCTCAGGGTCTGGCGGCCACTTAACAAGCGCAGCAGCCAGGCTGCACGGTACGCTTCGTCACCCAAGTCGCATCGTAAGTTGTACCTAATCATGAAGATACCAGAGATTCAAACAGTGTCAGCAAAAGTTCTGATATTTTAAAACATAGGTAAATGTAGACTTTGCAGTGTATAAAGTGCTAATTGTATTTTAAAATTTTTTTTAGTTAGTGCTAATTTTAATAGACCCACTACAAGAATATATAGGAAAGATAAAAGAATGGTCACTCACATTAATGTGAGAACAGTTTATATAGCATTTTATTGCTGGTGTTTTAAGTCTGTGGAATATCTAACCACCGCTCTATTTTTTTTTTTTTTTTAACTTCACAGAAAATCCAGTATAATACTAAGTGCTTATCATCCTAAGAACATAAGAAGTACCCTTACGTTAAACAGCTATTCAGTTAAAATTAACAGGGCATTATAGACTTAAAATAGGCCACTTCTAGAGGCTATAACTGCAGATCATAATGTAACCATCAAGAACACAATCACTGGCCATCTAATTCCAGAGCTTCAACGATGTGTGCGGCAGAAGGGCGAGCTGTCGGATCTTCATTAGTGCACACAGAGAAGAGTTCAATCGCTTTCTGGTATGATTCATCCAGTTCGCCCATGTTAATAGGTGGCCTGGTTCCCAAAGCTTCATAGTAAGCTTCATCATCAAACTCACTTTCATCAAAAGTTGTATCTACTCACAAAAGTATCAGAGATTGAAACAATAAAATCAGTTCAGGTCATGGAAAAGCTTAACTCACCCTCCTGCAACAATTTTCTATATAGTAAGCTTTCTGTTATCCCATGGACAGTCCCTTGCATTATCCTGCCACTCAGTAATTAGTCTTGGATTTATAGGTTATTGACCATTACCCCTTTCTATAATAGCTCTTTAATCTTTTCTCAGGTAAAGATAATTTTAATTTGTTCTTCAAGATCTCAATTTATCTGTTTCTCAATCTATAACTCACATAAGATTAAATCTAACCAAATTAGTGCTATGGTATTAATGTACTCTTACAAACTACTTTGCTCAGTAAACAACTACTGTTCAATTTTAACTTAATGGAAACATAATTTTATAAGTTAATCTTAAATGTCATGAGATTGCAATTGTGCTAGGCTTGGGCTGTAGGTTAGTAGTAGAGCATTTGCCTAGTTTAATCTCCAGTACCACAAAAAAAAATTAAAACCTAAAATTGGTATTCATACCTTCATCACCATCATCGTCTGCAAGGTTAAGATTAACGTGTGGAATGGATAAAGTCATCATTTCCCACAGAGTAAGGCCAAAGGCAAATATATCTGCCTTGTCAGTAATAATGCCATTTTCCTCCAAAGCTTCCTTGGGTTTCCACGGCTCAGTGCCAATGTAACAGGCCTCGGGATCAGTCACTGAAACATGTGAAACTGTCATGAGAGCAGGCAGGCTGTAAAAATGATTAACAACAAAGCTAGGTAGGCCTGATGGCACACTCCTGCAATCCCACCATTTGGGAGGCTGAGGCAGGACGATGCAGTTTGAAGCCAGCCTGGGCTACATAGTAAGTTCAAGGCCAGTCTGGACTACACAGTGGCCGTCTCAAAAGAAGAAAAAAGGCAAGCAATTTAAAGAAAAATGGACAAATGCTTTGAGCAGGGAATTTGTAAGTTCACATGAAAACACATTTGACTTCATTACTAAGGCTTTCCTTCCCCCAGCAGACTGGTAAGTATGAAACCACTCAATCAGTTGGCAAGGATGGAAGCCAACAGCAGTTCTCTTAGAAAGTGGCCTAAATATGAAGAGTATGGCTGTCAAGACTATCGACTAAAGCAGAGGGCCTTGCCTGGACTCAGATGCTTGCAAACTGTCTGATCCTCAGGGGTTGGCTTCACTTCTGACCCCAATTTCTTTATTTTGTAAAGTATGCTTTACTTGTATAATTAGGATAAATTAAGGCCCTTACAAAAAGAACATTTGTTAGGCAATGTTGGTGTGTATTATACTGAAGAAGGGAAACTTTCAGTATTCGATTATTATAATCACTATTTCTTTAAAAGGATAAAGTGAAAGCAAACTGAGTATCATTCACTTAAACACCAGAAGAAAAATCTAGGATCCTGTTTAATGAAACAGCTTCTCTTTGGAACTAGAAAAACAATTCAATTTTTGGTCATCTTGTACAGATTTAAATGACTGGTAAGTGGTTAAGTTGCACAGGCTGGCCTCAAACTTTAAATCCTGCTGTCTCAGCCTTTCACATAGCAAGTAGTGGTAGCTACATCACCCAGCCTGAACTTTTAAATATCTTGTCAAAAAGATTCCTCTTTATCTTCTCAAAGAATCTTCCTGGCTGTGTTTGAATATGTATCTTCAAGGATGAACTTTTTTGTTTGGTTGGTTTTTTGAGGCAGGGTCTGTGTTTTCAAGGCTGGCTTTCAACCAGCAGTCCTGTGTCAGTCTCTCAAGTTCTGAGATTACAGGCATCTGCCATCATAACTGGCAAGGATAAACTTCAGATTCACTTTGATACGTTCTAACACAGACCACCACTCAGAGATTTTGGTCAAACTATAGATGCACTGCCATGTCCTGCACAGCTCTTGAAGTTCACAGGGGGGAGAATGGTGGGACGATGGAGAAACAAAGCTGAGAGTCAAACTGCAGAAAGCTGAAGTCAGGTGGAGCCCTCTCCTGATGAGGGGAAAGAACTGCCCAACCACTGCAGAGCATCTGTACATTCTGCAGGTTGATGTCATGTGACAACCCTCTGCCCAGCTACCTGTCTGCACAACAGCCTTGGGGTGCCTCAGGCCCTGGGAGCTGGAGCAGCCTGTGTACACAGCTCACCCCAGGCTATGCTCCAGCCAACACGTGAGATCAATCTCCAACTTTAGCTGCTCCCCAAAGTTTGTATCTTCTTTCTGCTTTCCTTAGAGTTTCATCTATTTTACATCTAAGATGAATACTCAGTTTAATTTCATAAAAGTTAAATACAAATGGTTTTCCTTTGCATAATCTCAATCATATCAAATAGAGTTTGATTAGCTATATTTTTTGTTTTCAATACATAGTAATTACATTCATCTTGGGGAACTGATACATATTCATATCTCATCTTAATTTTCACTCCCACTTATCATCACCACAAAGTTTACTTCTCCTAGCTTCCTATCTATCTTTTATTTTGCTTTTTCTTTGTATCTTGGGTTTCTAATGTAAGAGAAAATACGCAGTATCTAACCTTTTCTGTCTGACCGATTTCACTTAACATTATGGTCTTCAAGGTGCATCCATTTTCCTACAGATGACTCATGCTTAACTTCTATTAATGTGTAGCATTCCATTGTATATGTCAATCTTCCTTATCCATTCATCTATTTGATAGTTTACATTCCCACCAAGAATGCCATAGGGTTCCATTATCCCCCACAGTCTCACTATTTACAAATGTAAATGTTACTTGCTAAGATTTGAATTTTTTTTTTTTTTTTCTCCGAATGCCTTCAGGGTAGGTTTGGCTGGCTTGAGTTGTGGGGATTGTGAACCACAGCAACCTGAGCCTGACTGCTTTGTTGAAGCAGCCACTTAAAGAACTGAGCTAAGGGGCAGGCCCCCAAGATTTGAATTCTTAATGATAGCTATTCTTTCTGGAGCAACATGAAATCTCAGTGGTGTTTTGATTTGTGGTTCTCTAAAGGGCCAAAGACGCTGAACATTTTTCATATACTTATTGCCCATTTTTATTTCTTCCTTTGAGAGTGTCTCTTCATTATAACTGTTCATTTTTTGATTGGGTCTTTTTATTTTTTGGTGTGTAACATTATTATTTTCTAAATATTGCAACTAGAATTTGATTTCCTGTCAGTAAAGAATTATTCATAAGTGTTTTGTTTCCAGTTTTGATATAAAGCTCTGGATTTATACCATTGATATTAATGAATGTCAACTATTGGAGACAAATACTTTTCATAAAGTTTGCTTTTGTGGCTTAATATGTGGTCAATTTTAAAATTAGGGTTTTAGGGCAGGGGGGCAGAGTCTTGCTAAATTGCCCAGGGCTTCAAACCCACGACCTTTCTCTTCAGCCTCCCAAGAAACTGGGATTACAGATGCTCACCACCATGCCCAGTTTAATTTTAATAAATATTATAATGCAGAGAAATTGACCCTATTTACTCGGATTCTTTTAAATTTATTTTTTAAAATTTATTTATTTATTTGGTACAGGGTCTCACTATGCAGCTCGAACTTGTAGTGATCCTCCTGTCTCAGCCTCCCCAGCACTGGGATTATAGTGTGTGCCACCATGCCCATTTTCAGTGGCTGACATGGCAAGCCTGGGGTCCTGAAGCCAGCATGGCATGTGGTACTGGGGATCAAACTCGATCCACTGTGCTTGCCAGGCAGGTGTTTAGACTGCTGAGCTATCGCCCAGCCCTACTCAGATTTTTTATGATATTTTCTTACTGCTACTTATTTGCTTTATTAAGGTTTGCAAAAGATTAACACTTTAAAGATCTTATTTTTATTATGCTTGACAATTTCCCAAAGTTTCAACTTTGCAGCAGTATCTCGACATAAGATTCATAAGAGTTCAATTTTTATTAACAATTATAGACACAATCACTCTATCCTGGTTTCTATCCCAAACAACTTCTAAATTTTTACTTATGCTAGAAATAAAGCTTTATATATGCTGTAAACAGCTGCACAAGCCAGCCTTGTAATTTATATTCATATTGGTAAACAAATATAGATATGACTTACTAAATAATATGTTAAAAGCAGAGCATTTTCATTAAGAGTGGCTCTTGGCTCTTACTAAAACAAATCTTAACTTTCTGAGAACAGAATGGTCAGTATTAAAAAAAAAAAAAAAAAGAAAAATGGATGAGAGGGATGGGCTGGACCATGGAGCAAAAAGCAGAAGACTGGCTTTTAGTAGTTCCTCTCCTAGTTTACTTGTTTCTTCTAGCAGTTTCCCAAATTTCATCACTTTACTGAGCTTAATGAATTTCCTTTACAGGATCTTATTAAACCAGTGACACAACCTGTCATCTCAACTACTTGGAGGCTAAAGTGGAAAGAACACAGGTTTGCAGTGAGACCCTACCTCAGAAAGGGTTCACGAGATAGCCCCACAGTAGAGAGTTTGCCTGCCAAGTGCAACCCCCTGAGTTCAATAATCAGTATTACAAAAAAACTGAAACAACCTTATTAAAATTTTACTTTCCATTCCTAGATGCCTTACAGTTTAAAGATATTAATCCAGATTAGAAGTCTTTCCCAATGTTAATATCGGTGAAAGTATATACTAACAAAAAGTCATTAATTTAAGCTGGGGAGATGACTCAGTAGAATAAGCACTTGCCTGGCAAGCACAAGGGCTCGAGTTCAATCCCTGGTT